GGGGCTGGGCGGGCGGGGCGCGCGGATGAACAAGTTTTGGGGGGGTTGAGGAGGCCCACGAGGGTGGAAGGACGCGAAGACGAAGGCGAGGGCGGGGCGGGGTCGGGTGGTGCGGGCCCGCCCGGGCCCAGGGAGACGATTCTCCCTCCTGCCGCCGCTCCTCCCTTCCTCTCTCGCGAAACGTAACGGCAAAATTCGGCGACGAAAGGATCTGGCGACGCGGCTCGCGGACGATGGAGCGCCATCGCCACGAATCTCCGAATGTTTTCATTCAGGCGTTCCCGCGTGCGCCTAAATTGCCGTCAACAGAATTTCCTACCTACCCCAGCGATATGACTGCGAAGAGCGCTTTCTGCGGCGCGACGATGCAGGGCGAAGGCAGCAGCGGTGAAGAGTGAGAGAAAAGCACGAGCTCCGTTCGCGCGGGAACGAGTACACAGACCCAACATACATTCACATACTTGAAAGGAGAGAGAGAGAGAGAGAGAGAGAGAGAGAGAGAGAGAGAGAGGGCTGCGTGCGTTCCACATTCGTGTCGATGGTTGCGCAGCCGGAGTAATTACTGAATGACCCGCGATGAGGCGATCGATAATTAACTACCGGGTAGTTTGTCGGTTTAAAAAACATTGTTTGCGGTCACCCTTTGTTCTTCCCGCCGCCTCGCGTTCTACATGCCTGCACGCAACGTTGGCTACGAGGTGATCGGTTACCGGACCATGGACTCGCGCATGTATTGATAAGAATGCACATCAACCGATTCTTGATCCTACATTTGCCGATTTTTTTGGTGGGGCCAACACGCACACACACACACAGACAGACACACACACACACACACAGACACACACACAGAGAGAGAGAGAGAGAGAGAGAGAGAGAGAGAGAGAGAGAGAGAGAGAGAGATGGCAGGTAACCAGTGAAGTCACGAGCGTAGCGGGGTGGGAGCTCTGGTAAGAGGACCGGCGAGGTTGTGCGGATATGACCTGTCGGGCGCAGATAGCCCTATGATCGTCTCTGATCCAGAAGCAACAGCATTGAGGATCGCTTTATTGAGAAAGACGGGAGAGAGACTTTTTCTCTGTGTATCTCCTCCCCCACCCCCTCCCGTTGTTCCTCTCTCTCTCTCTCATCTCTCCTTCTCTCTCTCTGTGACCCGTGAAGTCACGCACCCACAGACGTGCATACAAGTCCAGCCTCCAGATAAGCCAGTGGAAATAGGACGACTTTCTCTGTCGCTCCGAGGCTTTTGAAGCCGGTTGAGTTTTCTGAGCGTGCGCGCCGTCACGCACATGTAGACCCAGAGACAAGAGAGAGAGAGAGAGAGAGAGAGAGAGAGAGAGAGAGAGAGAGAGAGAGAGAGAGAGAGAGAGAGAGAGAGAGAGAGAGAGATTTGTTGGCTGCGAACGTAACAGAAGATTATCGACGATGCAATCTGATGGACAAGGCGGTTTTGATCGGACGACAGAAGATCAATGAATGGACCCGTCGCGTCGATTCTTGAATCGCTGGATCTTCTCAGCTTTGTAATCAATCAATCAATCAATCAATTAATCAATCAATTAATCAATCAATCAATCAATTAATCAATCAAGCAAGCAATCTAGCAGCTGCAGGGAGTAACCTGAGCGATGGGAATGAAGTGGAAGGAGAGCGGGCGCCGAGTGTGAAGAAGAGGGGCGTAAGTGGTGCAGAGTCTGGCGGACCCTGCTCATGTACTTGACGCGCGACGCGTGGGGCGGGCAGCGGCGTGAAGGGGGAGGAGAGGGGGACGTGCAGGAGGCAGAGGAGGTTGGAGGCGGGTCTGTTTCGCCGCTGCTCGCCTGGATAGGAGGAAGACGAAAGGAAGAGGAAATCAGGCAAGAAGAGTATGGAGAAGGCGTGGAGTTTCCTTCTCTGGCGATTAGGATTACTGGATCTGTTCCCACGTCAGCAGGGGATGGCGGAGCGCACGATGAGTGGGACTTCTGCTCTGCTTTCGGTCATCATAGCGATCTTGTTGGTCGCCGTAGTTGCTCTGCGCAGATGGTGGCATAACCGGTGCAATTACTCACTGCGGGAGGCGGCGCTAGCGCTTCGCAGGGCGGCGCACCGATCGCGAATCCCCCCGGTGGCGCACACGTGGCAGAAGGAGGGCCTTCGGCGCGGCCACCCCTCGCAGTGCTGCGTGTGCCTGCTAACGTTCTCCCATTCTTCACTGAAGGCAGTGGGAGTTGGCGGGACGGTCACCGTCGGCTCTTCGCCGTTCATTTCTCGTTGCGCAGTCTGCAGCGTGGCGGCGCACGAGCGCTGCACACGCCGCGCGCTCAAGGACTGTAAGCGCATCTCGATGCCCCCGGACATTGGCGGGAAACTCCATCACCACTGGGTGGAAGGGAGTGCCAATACGGAGGATATGCCGGAGGAGGGGGTGTTCTGTCTTCGATGCGAGGAGCTGTGCTCGGGAACCTTTCTTGGGCTCAAGCCGGTGTGGAGATGTGTGTGGTGTCAGAGGTTGGTACACGTGGAGTGCGAAATGAAAGTGAAGGCGTGGGCGAGTGGCAAGCGGGCGGAAGGAGTCGGGATTCCGTCGGAAGCGGACAGCGTGTGCGATCTAGGGCCGCACAAGCGGCTGATTTTATCCCCTCTATGTGTCAAGGACGCCCGACTGGTTGGGAGCGCTAATTCGTCCTTCACGATCCCAGCGGGGGTGAATGGGGGGACGGGAGTACCGGTGGGAGTAGGAGCAGGAGGAGGAGGAGGAGGAGGAGGAGGAGGAGGAGGAGGGGCGATAGATGGTGCAGAGGGGAAAGGAGGTGGGGTAGGGGGGACAGAGGGAAGTACAGGAGGCTCCGATGGAGGGGCGGCAGCGACCCCGACGGGGGGAGGGACACCGGGGTTGTCGAACGGCGGGAGTGTGGGGGGCGGAACTGCGAGTAGCGCTCGGAGCCCGCAGCGCACCGTGTCGCGCATACTGAACGAGATCGCATCAACGGCGGTGACGACTATCCGTAGGCGCACGCGCCGGCGGAGACGTGCGGGAGCAGGGGGAAGCAATGGGGATCTGCAGTCGTACTTCGGAGAGGACTCCGGCAAGGGCTTAGACGGGGTCGGGAAACCCAATTATATCATGACGGACTTACCCAGCGATTCCAGACCTGTACTTGTCTTCCTCAACAAGAAGAGCGGCGCTCAACACGGAACCGCACTGCGACGCCGCTTCAATCTCCTGTTGAATCCGATCCAGGTGGCTACCTCTCCTCCTCCTCCTCCTCTTCCTCCTCTTCCTCCTCTTCCTCCTCTTCCTCCTTTTCCCCTGTCGCCCTTCTCGTCCACGCCTTGATCTCCTCTTCTTCTTCCTCCTCTCGTTCTCACCTGCTCTCCTCTCCTCCTTCTGCCCTCCGCTCCTCCTCTTTCCCTTCCTCTTCCTCAAACAACTCCTCCAGGCCTCTTCGCGCCTTCCTCTCTTTCGTTTTCCACGCTTCTTCCTCTTCTCCTTCGTTCCTTTCTTCCTGCTCTTCCTCCTCTTGCAGTTCTTCCTCGTTCTCCTCCTCGCCCTCGTCCTCGTTGACCTCTTACTCCTCTTCCTCCTGTTCTCGTCCTCTTCCTTCACCTCCCTCGCTCCTTCCCTTCCTGTCTTCCGCTTTCTCCTCCTTTTTGGCGAATGCTCCTCTTTGTTCTCTGATATCTACTTCGTTTGTTTTCTTTTCTTCTTTCCTCCGCCCCCCTCCCGCACGCTTTCTCCTCTTTTCCCTTTCTCTCCTCGCCCGCTTATTTCTACTCCGCCTGCTTCGGCCTCTCTCTTCATTCCCTATCTGCACTTGTCTTCATCATTAGGATCACCTCGTATGCCGCTGAGGGCGCGTCCCGACTCATCTCCGCCCAGTCCTCCTCTCCCTTCAGCCGCTTCCTTTTTTGGCTTCGTGTCGAGCTTGTGGTTCATTTCTGGGGATTCGGGGGGCATGGTAGAGGCTAGGGGTGGGGGGTGTCCCCTCCTCCNCTGGGGATTCGGGGGGCATGGTAGAGGCTAGGGGCTGTCTCTTATACACATCTAGATGTGTATAAGAGACAGCCCCCGAACATAACGCACCCTCATCGCGACTGTACCGGACCGGAAATATGGATTCCGTACATTCATAAGCACGGTGCTGCGTTGCGTTCGGCGGAAGACGGTAGTGCCATCGCCCTGAGCGGGCTCATCACCATCGCCGTGCTCTTCTCCTCTTCAGCTCCCCTATCCGTTGCCGTGGGAGCAGCCAACGATGCCGTGCTACCAGCAATGCGAGGATCACTTCTAGCGTCATTGCGGACATCATACCTTCATTACTGGTACCTAACCTATCTCTCGCGCAGATTTCACCCCCAGCCACTGCCTCTCAACAATACTCCCCCCCTCATTTTATTTCTAGCGCCGCCAAGTGGCCTCTCTCTCCCGCAGAATGGATCGGGGTTCCAGTGGTTCGCCGAATCGACTAGACCAAACGAAATCCATGTTGCAAACGCTCCTGGTGCAGGAGGACATGCATGCCCATGCTGCTGCAGCACATGCATGCACATGCCGCTGCACACGAAGCGCTATTGTCTGCCATATTGACGTTCACGGTCACAGGAGCTTAGCGCTCTGCAAGTTGAAGTAGGCTGTTTGTGAAAACAGCTGGAGATATCAGAAGTGAGAATGCCCGCCCACATGAGTAACCACTCGGTTGGATAAAAACAGTAAAAAAATAGTAAGTTGTGTGGATCGAAAAAGTCAGGTGGAAAGTACATGATCGCCGGAAGTTCGGACGGTTTTTGTTTTTGCGTTTAGTCAATCTATACGTACGTAGAGTGCCTCGGTCGGTCCCTAAGGAAACCCAACCCCGAAAGGTGGCGCGGATGGGTACTACCTTCTTCCCCCCTGTCTCTTATACACATCTAGATGTGTATAAGAGACAGGATGGGTACTACCTTCTTCCCCCTTCTTTTTTTTTTTTTTTTTTTTTTTTTTTTTCATTTTTCATTTTGGCTCCACTCAGCTGAAACTCGTCATTTTGGGACCCCTGCCCCCTCTTTCCCCCTGCTGCCCCTGTCTCTTATACACATCTAGATGTGTATAAGAGACAATCGTATAACCATCTTAAACTCCTCCTTGGCTTCCTGTTCAAAACGTAAAACCAACTAGTTTCACTTTTTTTATCTTGACAAATGATTCAAAAACTCTGCGTAATCTCTCTCATCATATTCACCTTCCTCAGATTCTTAGNTTTTTTTTTTTTTTTTTTTTTTACCATTAAGGCCCTTCTTCCCCCGAATACAATGTACGGTCATTATAGCTGTATTTAGTCTGAAAGACAGCCCAAATACAGCTATAATGACCGTACGTTGTATTCGGGGGAAGAAGGTAGAGAGAAAGTGACGAAAGTTGAATAAAGAGTAAGCTAGCGGTACTACACAAAACAATATTCGATGAAGGGATTGGGCGTCAAAATTTCCGGGGAAAAACTTCTAAAAAAGAAAAAAGAAAAAAAGAAAAAAAGAAAAAAAGAATCAATGATACATTTTGATTGAACGGTGCCCAAATACATTGGTGGTGTATTACCAGTAAGGCTGGCCTCTTCCTGCTCTCTTACCCGTACCGTCTCCTCGTCTCCTCCTCTCCCCCTCCCCCTCCTACCCCCTCCCCCTCGCCTTCGCCCCCCTGCTCGTTGTGTTGTGCTGCCGTTTTGGCAATCAATGAGCATGAGTCCGCATGCAGCATTCATTTGGTTATCGCGTCGAAGCATTCACGAAATAGCCGTGTTTGTCATCATCCAAGGGGGAAATCGTCTTCCCTCTCATCACCGTTTTCATGGAACGCATCATATCTAATCATCAACGATCTCGATCACCGTTCGTCACTCGCGGTCATCATTATTGAAAATGGGCGACTCATCTTCTCTCTCATCGCCATTATCGAGGGAGTCACCATCTAATGATTATATCTAATCATCATATCTAATCTTATCTAAAAATCATCATATCTAATCATATCTAATCATGTCTAATCATTATATCTAATCATCATCAATCCCGATCAGTGTCCCTCACGACGTGTCGTCATCATCAAAAGGAGTCATCTTATCTCTCTCATCGTCATTATCATGAGATATCATATGTAGTCATCATATATAACCATCATATGTAGTCATCATATCTAATCATCATATCTAATCATCATATCTAGTCATCATGGATCGCGATCACTGGCAGCCACGGCGTGCCATCGTCATTCAAAAGGAGCCATCTGATATTTCTCATCGTCAATATCATGAGGGAGCACATCTAATCATCATCGATCTGATCACCGTCGGTCACGACGTGTCATCAACATTCCAACGGCGTCTTCTCTCTCATCGTCAGTATAATGGGAGTCATCATCATATCTTATTGTCATAACTACCGTCTTCACCCGAATAGAACGCCCGGTCATTATAGCCGTATCTGGTACAATTTCCAGTCCAGATACCGCTATAATGAACGGGGGCGTTCTATTGGGGTGAAGACGGTAGTCATCATATCTACGGTAGTCATCATGAATCATGATCGCTGTCCGCCGCTGCAGAACGCCACTGTCGTTTTTTTTTTCACCTTTACCTTCAGCAGAGGAGCCGTAATGACGGCTGATGCTGTCCCGTTATCCTCTGTGTTTTCCCGTCCGCCCCCCTCTCCTCCTCTTCCTTCTATCTAATGTTTGTTCTTCTGCCTGCTTGCATTTCTGCATTCCTCTTCCTTCTATCTAATATTTGTTCTTCTGCCTGCTTGCATTTCTGCATTATGCTTTGATGGTCGTTGTTTTCTCTTTCTCTGCGATGACTCAACTCTGGCTTTCTCCCTCCTCGCTCACATCTTCCCGAAGCCGTCGGAAGAGAGAGCTCATCGAGCCGCTTATGTATGACAGTGTTAGCAGGACATCGCTCTTTATCCGGTCCGCGTTCGTTTGCATACATGGGCTTCAATCCTTGAATGGGCCTCGCTCCACGACTCTCGACATGCACAAAAGACAAAAATCATGGCGGTGTATCTTTCCATGTTCTAGCGGAAGATTCACTCTCGTTTTGCACATGTCGAGAGTAGTGGAGCGAGGCCCAATGAATCGAAGGCAAGCTCAAAGGTTTGCAAAAGAGGAAAAAAAAAAGGCCACTGATCTCCCAAGGAAGATCTCCTGCCTCAAATCGCTATATTCCTTATCCCGGCCGTCAACTCTCTTCCCTCCCCCCTATCTTTCTCTCCTCTGCGCCGTCCCAAAAATGGCTTCCATTCCGTAACACATGCTATTTTACCTGAACGGTCTAGACAGCTCCAAACCATCATCAATTAATCCTGACTCTTCCTTTTTTTTTTTTTTAATTTTAATTAATCCCGACTCAATGTCTTGGTATCATCATCATTGAGTCGAGCTTACGACTAAGGAAAAGAGAGAACGCAAAAAGTGAAAAAAAAAACAAAAAAGTAGAGAAAAACAAAGAGAAAACAAAATAAATAAAACAAGCTGGGCTAACAGCCAGGCCGCACGGGTCACCTGGTTTGCCGGACGGCCCGCGCTGTGCAAGGACCAGGGAAGGTTCCAGCAAAAAAAAAGAAAAAAAATTCGAAAAGAAACTATGTGATGCTGAAAGAAAAAACTGAACAACTTTTGTCTCGGGGCACATCGAAATTCTTTACTGACTTCAAAACAATCAATTAAAAAAAATAATGAATTAAAAACAATCAATTAAAAAAAATAATGAATTAAAACTATCAATTAAAAAGATAATGAATTAAAAACAATCAATTAAAAAAAATAATGAATTAAAATTTTCTTGTTTCTGTTTTTCTCTTTGGCGCTCTGATATCATGTGACAATAGATAACAAAGAGAAAACAAAATAAATAAAAAAAGCTGGGTTAACAGCCATGCCGCACGGGTCACCTGGTTTGCCGGGCGGCCCGCGCTGTGCAAGTGTTAAAGAAAAAAAGAAAAGAAGAAAAAAGAAAAAAAGAAAAAAGAAAAAATATGTTGATCTGTGGGATGTGTTATTTGCTTTGTGGCAATTGGATTATCTGTGGGATGTGTCATTTGCTTTGTTTGACTGATAGGCTTTCTTTCCCTGTGAGGTCTGGTTTCCTCCATTTCTTTACCTCTTTTTTGCCTTTTGGCTGCGTGCAAGTGTGTCCTTGTGACACACGGGGATGGGGGCAGCCAGCGCTCAACCTGTCTTCCACGTGGCTGGCCTTGTACGTAAGAGGTGAC